GTCCAAGACAAGAAGAGACGACAACTCAGACAAATAGAAATTGAAGTTAAAAGAAGAATTAGTAGTAGTACTCGCGCTATGCGCGGTTAATATTTATTAACTTAAATTATGATCGAGTTTGTTTGAACATATTAGATTATATTGGTTTAATAAATTTCAACTGTCATCTTATTTGTCAATATGATATACCCAGTAATAAAATCTCCATAAAACTAAAGGGACTTATATAGTCATTGAATAATTTTTTGGTTCTATATTTTTCTTTATTCTGTTATCCAATGCTTAGTACTTTTACATTGTTAATAGAAATTTTTATTAGCAAATTACTTTGTTTAATATTTTTGTTTGCTCGCTTTCTTTTTGTAATATAAGAGAAGATATATATTTTATTAATCTTGAAATATATTTTTTTAAAATTTTATTATGTTGTTGTCAGTAATATTATCTGAATTTTAATGAATAAAATCTCTACTGAATTAAAGGGACTTATATAGTCATCAAATAACTTTTTGTTATGTATGTTTCTTTAATATATTATCCATGTATAATTGCATTGCTAATAGAAATTTTTATTAGCATATTACTTTGTTTAATATTTTTGTCTACTATTTTTTAAAATGTAATAGAATATATATATATATATATATATATATATATATATTATTACTCTTGAAATAATATTTTTATTTTAAATTTTATTCTAATGTTTTCAATAATATTGTCTGAATTTTGATGAATAAAACCTCTACTAAATTAAAGAGGCTTGTATAGTTATTGAATAACTTTTTTGTTCTATATTTTTCTTTATATACTTATCCAATATTTACTATTTTTACATTGTTAATAGAAATTTTTATTAGCATATTAATTTATTTAAAATTTTTAATAGTATATTAATTTGTTGAATAAAATCTCTATTAAATTAATGAGACTTGTACAGGCATCGAATAACTTTTTTGTTTCGTATTTTTATTTATTATATTGTCCAATATTTAGTATTATTACATTATTAATAGAAACTTTTATTAGCATATTATTTTATTAAAAAATTTGTATGCTACTTTCTTTTTATAATATAATAGAAGAAATATATTTTTATATTTTATTATATTATTTTCGATAATATTTTCTGAATAAATAAACGTTTTATTTTAAAAAAGAAAAACAAAAATTATTTTAAGAAAATAAATATACTTTGAATTGGCAGTTTTTTATTTTTTGTTATTTTAGTTTTTTATTTGAAAATAATTTTAAAACTCCAACTTGAAACTACTCTCCGATTTGAATGGAAAGTTTTTTTTTAATTTTTTATTATAAAATATTTTATTTTATTATTTCATATATATTTAAATTCAAAAAATAATAACCATTAACTAATTATTAACTACTTATGTCATGTGGCTTTTTTCTAGGCTGCCACCTGCTTAAGGAGAGAGGTTTTTCCTCTCCTAGATATAGATGCTACTTTCTTTTAAAATATAATAGAAGATATATATTTTCATATTTTATATTTTATTATATTATTCTCAATAATATTTTCTATATAAATAAAAAAATTATTTTTAGAAGGAAAAAATTATTTTTAAAAAAGAAATTTTGAATTGGTAGTTTTTTTATTTTTTGTATTTTAAAATAATTTAAAAATTCCAACTTGAAACTCCTTTCCAATTTGAATGAACAATTTTTGTTTAATTTTCGTTTTTTATTATGAAATATTTTATTGTATTATTTTATATATATTTAAATTCAAAAACAATAATCAATAACTAATTATTAACTACTTATGCGATATGGCTTTTTTCTAGGCTGCCACTTGGTTTAAGTAGGGGCTTTTTCCTCTCCTTTAAATAATATATATATATATATATAGGTGTTAAGAAAATAGATTTTGGGTTTAACTTATGAAAGCAACCTTACAAAACACAACAAGAAGGTTAAGATGACTATATAAAGAGATGACTATCCATTTTCACAACTATGTGGGAAACTAATAAATAGCAAACAAAGCCTGCGAGAAGAAGAAAACGAAGCTATAATAATACAAGAAACAGAAATGGAGGGCGAAAACAAGAGACAACGATGGAAGACATAAGGACAATGAAGAAGAAGATCAGACAGTTGTTCAACAGCAAGAAAGAGGGAAAATGAAAAGGAGATATAAAAAGAAAACTGACTAATAAAATTCCTTTTTACCCTCAACAACAAAAAAGTGAACTTGCCAGATTTGCAAAGTTTGAGGGTGACAAAATCGACGAGTAATTCTTATCTAATGAACTAGGTAGGACGATTGAGCAGTCATTGTTGTGCTCATGGCTGTAGCACAACAATTATCGTTGCCATCACCAGTTTAGTTGAATATACACTTCTAAAGACCATTTATCAACCCTTTCTCATACATCCCCTTTATCATTTAAGTTCGGTGCCACAAGTTTGAACAATTTCCGAGTAACGTCTTTTTTACAATGTTAGTCTATATAAAAAATAAATAATAATAATAATAATAATAATAATAATAATAATAATAATAATAATAATAATAATAATAATGACGACCATGATAATAATAATAAACCCTACTTTATCAAGAAGAGCCGGATGGAGCTTAAAATCTATGGATTTGGTAAATATTTATCTGCGCAATTATCCTATATATGTCTAAGCATTTCAAGGTAAATGGAAATACGGAAAACATCAAGACTTCAAATTACTAAACATTGACTTCTAACAACTGTTGTAGGTAACAAATTACAAACGATGGATAATACTTTGCGTGCTACTATGAAATTAGGCCATGCGGAAAAAGATAACAACTTTTACATTCTTATGTCATATAGTAAACTATATTACTCTTCATGCTTAACTTTTAATATAATTACCTTCTATATACCTAATTATTATTTATGTACCATTTTAGAATTTTAATGGTATTAATTAGTCTCCTAATTTTACTCAACCGTATATTCCCACTCCCCCAAGTTTCTCTCTCCAAATCCCCACGATTTTCTCTTCAAACACCCACGATTTCCTCTTCTAAAACCAGCGAAAATCTATAACCCCTCCACCATTGACAACCATTAAAAAGCTTTGAAACTTTGAAGTCGAATTTGGGTATTCAAAAGGCATTGTTTGTTTGGATTGGATGTTGGTGCAAAGAATTGAGAATTCTCTCTACGTCTCTCTCTATCTCGCAATCCCAAATTTCAATAATATAAGAGGAAAGGAAAAGAGAGCAGTAATTCCACCATTGACAGCCATTAAAAAGCTTTGAAGCTTTGAATTCTAATTTGGGTTTTCAAAAATCATTATTTGTTTGGATTGGGTGTTATTGTAAATAATTGGGAATATGGTTTGGAGTTTATATCTCAATTTTGAGGGGTTTTGGTGAAGATTAGGCTTGTTTTGGCTGAATTTCAGATTGAAACTCGAAGAAGAAGAAGAAGAAGAAGAAGAAGAAGAAGAAGAAGAAGAAGAAGAAGAAGAAGAAGAAGAAGAAGAAGAAGAAGAAGAAGAAGACATGACATACATTATATTGCAGAAATTGTAGAAAAATTGTAGATTGTTGTTTATTTATTTTTGAGCTTTGTGTTTTTGTGTTAAAAGTTTTGATGGGAGCTTGTTATTCCACTTCGTCTATTTTGGAGCTAACTTGTGCAGAGGAGAAGATGTTTTTTAAGTTATATATATTGCTATACCTTTAAATTCAAGAAAGTATGGTTGTATTGTATTTATAGAGGCGTGAATTTGTAGAATAGATTGAATGTGAGGAATGAGTCAAATAAGACTCGCAATGGCTTGTTTTCTACATTTATTCTACAATAAAACTACATATCATTTGAAAAATTAATATGAAAATACAGAATTTCAATGTTTCTACAAATTATCTACAAAATTTCTACAAACTGTTCATAACAGAATTTATCTTTATTTTCATGCATGTTCGTCTGGAACACTAAAGTTACTTGATATGCCAACATCTCCCGTTATAGAGAAATATAACTTATCTACAATTTTCTACAACTTTCACACATTATTTCCACCCAGTTAAATACAACTACAATAACATAAAACTTACATACAAAATTTATACAATATGTGTTTTGTATATTTTGTATCTAATTTATACATAGTAAAAATAATTTTCATACAACTAATTATATATTATACAACTTATCTACAATTTTCGTACATTATTTCTACTAAGTTATATATAACTACAATAAAATACCACTTAAATATAATTTGTATACAATGTTGTTCAACTTTCATACAATATGTAAATGAATAAAAGAAAAATAAATAAACAACAGTCTACAATTTTTCTACAATTTCTGCAATATAATGTATGTCATGTCGTCTTCTTCTTCTTCGAGTTTCAATCCGAAATTCAGTCAAAACCAAGTCTAATTTTCACCAAAACCCCTCAAAATTGAGATATAAACTCCAAACCATATTCCCAATTATTTTCAACAACACCCAATCCAAACAAATAATAATTTTGAAACCCCAAATTTGAATTCAAAGCTTCAAAACTTTTTAATGGCTGTCAATGGTGGAATTACTGCTCTCTTTTCCTTTTCTTTGTATTACTAAAATTTAGAAATAATTGCGTTTGTTGCAGAAGAATTGTAGAAGGTTTAATCATTTTTGATTTGTGAAATCAGAAAAAAGGTTGAAACAGAGTGTATCGCAAAAAACAGAGTTTGAAAATTTTGAAACTAATCCGACAATTATTATGAATGTGTGTGATTTGCGTTGTAGAAGATCTGGAAGAATATTTAATTCCCCAATTTTAGCGCGCCTAAATAAGGAAACCTACAGCTACAATGATTCCTTATTTAATGAATTGTCTATATTTTGTAAAAATACTATTAGCATGGTAGGTAATATGTAAACTATGAACATATTTGGTAATATAGTTTCTTATATGGTATAGGAACGAAAATTTCCCAAAAAGATAACATTAAGATGCTTTTCTTTAACATTGAAGTCAAACAAGATGATTAGCCAAAACGAAAAGTAAGTCAAACTAGACAGAGCTACCGACACAAAAACTAACACATTCTTTATTCTTCAATTCACGAGCGGCAAGCAAAATCACATATTATCACATGACAAATAATCTGTAACCAACCTGCACCTCTCCCCAACCACTATAGGACCAAAACGAAAACATTCACACCAATGCAGCAAGAACCAAAACATACTCTAGCAATATTGGCAAAGAAGAAATAAAAGAGAAACGAAAATTAGAAGAGGAAACAAAATATAGTCCCTTGGCACACTGCTGACTGATATCAGATCAGACAGATAAACTGGCTTTCAGCAAGGTTCCCAACCATGAATATGTTACACCCACAAGGATATGTTTAAAGTCCCTGAACTTGAAGAACCTGCTTAAGAAAGCTTCTCGAGATAAGGAAGAAGCTCCATCAGGTTATTGCTGTCCATTATCGGTCTTTTGCGGAGCTGAAAATTCTCCTAGAAATATCAGACTTCAATTTCCATGTAAATGAGATAATCTCATGAAGTAGATGATCTATTTCTTCCTCTTTTTTCTCATATATGAAAAATAAAGTAAAGGCAGCTGGGATTCCTGCAGTTGAACAAAAGATGGTCAGAGCACCCAATATGTAGTTGAATTTGTTGCCTAGCTTGAGCTGCTATTTGCATCATTTTAGAAAGTATAACAATTTCTGAGTGCAAATGAGTTCTTTATTATGTAAGCACAAGGATAGGATGTGCTACGTACATATATGCATAGAGGGAGGAAAGAGAGACCACTTACCAATGACAAACAGACTCCGCAGAGAAATGGTTCCAAGGATACTTAGAATCAGTAGAGAGAGAACCACCTGTTTCATCGTCCAAATGAAGGATTTCACAAACTAATAGACGGCAATTCCAGTAACAGTATGGTGGAGATATAATTACTAATCTTGGCCGGCAGAAGCAAGAGGGCTTAGAAATCTCTATTTTGCATCCAATGTCTTATCCGGAATTTTTAATTTCAGTGAAAAAATGCTTATTCTACATGTTTTCACGTGGTTTGGGTTTTCGAAATAGGTCAAGGAATATTATTGTTACAATGGCACTCAAGGGGAATGCAACAAAAATACAGAATGTCAAAGCATGACAAACCTGCGTACCTTGTCATCTCCTAAAATGCAGAAAGAGAAACACATTAAAGAAAAAAAAGAGATTCCTTTTCTCCTAGATGTGTAACTTGACAAAAACCCATCTATTCAAAACGGAATAAACCCCGGCCCAACGCCCCAACCCAAAGAAAAGGAAGGGAAAAAAAACTTTGGGGCTTGGACTGCTGTTACCCCTAAGGCAGGGGTAACCGGTGGAATTAATTGAGGTGCATACTAGTTGGCACGTACACCATGATTTTAAAAAAGATAAACAAATAAATAAATAAATAAATTGTATGTATTAGCAATTACCTTAAGGAAGAACATGCAATCAGTCCCTCTACAAAGAGACTTTAAACCCTTTACTGCAGAATTCCACTCCGAGGCTGCTGACAGAGCAACTTGGCGTGATGTCTCTGCCGATACATGGAAGCATGATCCGGGAACTTTGTCAATTTTATAGCCCATTCTGTACCAGAAAAAAAAAAGATATCATGACTCCTGAACTGACTCAACGCCAGTTCCCTGGCTGCTCACTCCACAGAAAATGCATATGCAATAGACTGCACCTTTATTAACATGTATACATCAGAATGACCAATAATATAATGATGAGTAATTTCTAAAAGCCAGACGGAAATCAATTAAACAGATGGACCTCTCTAAAATCCATATCCAAATGGTTAATAACTGCTGTGAGAAAATGTAGAATTATCAAACAATGGTAGCTATAGGAAAGAGCCATCAAGGTAACAATCATCAGAGCAAAAAAGGTAGGAGAAAGGGAATAGAATTCAGTTTACCAAGCAGAAGTACAATGAAAATTTGTCACATAATTGCGGTCATAGTTGAAAGTTAACACTTCCAGTAATTTTGTCATACCAATTTATATATATGTCTGCTGCACGGATAAAAATAGGGACAGGCAGAAGGAAAGACAGTACAGATGAATACATTTTCTGAGGCAGTCTCCCGTGGATGAACAAGAAAATTGATGCCACCAACAGAATCCTTGATATAGAAGTTACAACGGTGAAACCAGAAGCTACGAAATTGAAATAAATTGCGGCCAGAACTAATGCTGCTGTTAGTGTCTGTTTCTTATCCTTCCAAAGAAGTGTGTCAGCCACTGCAAAATACAGTCACAAAGGTCGTGTTAGAATCTTTTTTTTTCCTCTTAAAATATGATACAAATCTGTGATTCACTGTTTATCACATTAAATAATAATTCTTTTACAAACATGCAATACAACTAAGAAGTGTCAGAATCTTTTGCAATTATGCTCAGTATACATAAAAATATGTGAAGTGGTCAAATCTGTGTCTCCCAAGATAATACTGAAAAACCAGCCTAAACAAGGGGAAAGCCAGTTTGAGATTGCAAGGTAAAACATCCCACATGTAAAATTTGTATTTTATTCATCGCAGAGAACCAAGCAATTGCATTCGGACGCCTAGTTTGGAGTCGCCAGGTAAGACATTCGGTTCACGAACCAGAAACCTATCTCCACAACAAGCTTCTCAATTTCAGATTGATGACTAATTGGTCGCTACCACAACTTAATACAATGGTAAGAGAAAGACAAGCTATTCAAGGCAGTAGCATGTTGAGGGATATTTCTCAGTAAGTTGAATAATACTCCCAACTTTTAAATAATTCACTATAAATACAGAAATCAACTTGATGCTGACAGAGGAGAAACCACTTCATGGGCTTAAAATTTTACAAAATTGTGTGCATTGCTGTGGTACGTATCCGAACTAAAAAACTTCTTTCAGATCATTACACAACAAAGGCAAAAATAGAGATGGGGACTATATAAATATTTCACTACTCAACATCCACCAAGTACCACATGTGGGATTTGGGTTTGTTGTTGCAATATCCACCAAGTACTGGTTCTGGATGTCTTGCTGTTTGTTCATCGAACACAGTAAATATGTTCGATTTATGTAATAAACCAATAGAATATACAAGCTTTTGCTCCCCATGCATTTTATTTGGATGCATAACAAAGTACAATAAGAGATCACATGCGACTTGCCAATAATCAAGAAGTATGCTGGAATGAGATGGTTTACAAGAAAAAACTATGCAATAAATTTCAAAGGGCCTAGCCTCAGCGCGCTCCCATCAACAAATGCAATACATCGACTATAGAATTAAAATAATCTATCAGGCAAATAAATTGATTGGTATGAGAGGCTCAAGTTATGAGAATGGAGCTCAATGCGTACCTCTCCCACTTCCGAGAAATAGAGAAGCTTTAGAAGGGCCTTCTTTTTCTGGCTGCTTTTCGGCTCTCAAGTGCGGATACGATTCAATTGTCCTCCTTAGGCCCTCCTAAAGAAATAGAATCACAATCATTGAGTACCTAACGAGAATAAAAGCCAAAGTAACTGTGGGAAAATGAATAATCATTTAAAGTGATGTAACGAGGCCCCAAAACAAAATTCTTACAGTTAAAATCAAGGAAAATACAAGCTAATTCCACAATCCTTTCATGAAACATAAGTTTACAAGCCACATACAAGTTGGACACTAAAATAGCTAATTCAACAGTAACATAGCGGAAGTTCAGACTCATGCATCTGTGAAGCAATATATCTGGAGAAAGTTCAATCTTAGAGAATCAAGTTCCAAGAATATGTTTTAGCCAAAAATGTTGACCACATATGACATGAAAATTTACGCTAAGAAGTTATAAAGGACTATCCAATGCAAATGATTATGAGTAGAATGCCTTAACACTTCCAGGGAGTATGAGAGACAGATACAACATGGCATTTATCGTTTATATGTGGAATTACCAGACACAAGTGATTAATTCAAGGATTGTACAGGAACCTGAAGTGGGACAATTGGTGTGTAGCCCAGGCGATCATTTGCTTTTGAACAACTAAATGTTCTACTACGAGATAGGAGCCTGATTCTTGACGGAGTCAACTGTGGGACCTTCATTCCATATGCGGCCAACAGCTTATAAGCCAACTCCACGAAATGTGCAATTGGCATCATAACAGAAGCAGGAATTTTAATGCTTGGCCTGCATACTACGAAAAATCAGAAATAAAGATAATATACACCGCAAAAAATTGAGAAAAACTGAAAGCGGAATTGACCAATGGTATCTACTAGAACGTGAAGTGCTCATAAATTCTTAGAAATGACATAGAAGCCATATTTTAATTTCAAAATGAATGCAAAAGATAAAAATTTCAGTTGTTATTCAAATGCATCTGCAAATGCCAATATTTAGTTGACGAGGAATTATAATGAGTTGGTTTTAGAGGTAACAAATCACCCAGAGAAATCTCTCTCTCTCATATATATATATATATATATATATAAACAATCTGACCAAACAGGAGAAGAGGTTATAGTGCCTCAAAATGAAAAAGAAACAAAAGAAGGAAGCAAATCTGAACCTGCCAAACCCACTTAAGATCTTTGTCATCATGTTCATTAGGAACTATGGATTTAGAGTCAAATCACACGGTTCCACTTGGTCCTAACACAAAATTAAAGACAGTAATGATAACCAATCTCAAAGCTACAAACCGTGGCTCAACCATTTTAACAGCAAAAGCAAAAAAGAAGAAAACTGGAGCTGTACACTGAGCAATCAGCTTTTAAAACACAATTCCTCAAGTCAAACTAAAAGGTACATCTTTTTCAGATGCCATCACCATCCAGGCAGAAAAAATAGAAAACACCGAAGAAGCAAAAGAAGGAAATACTAAAATACCAACCCCTCCCAGATTGGCTAAAGATAATGTACAACAGCCATCAATAGCGAGCCACCCCTTGTACTAGGATACAAGCTTATGCATGAATAAACATAATATTACAACCATAAATCATATTTGACCCTATATGCAGATATACCTGGTGATCATAAACGGAAAATATTATTCGCTACTTAGCCTTATAATCCGCGAAGCACATGCTTCTTTAAATCATCTCGTTCACATAGTTTACAACCAAAGCAATTAGCAATCACTTAAAGGTGGCAATCTGAGCCAAAACTTTTGAAGCTGCCCAAACCACCCATATTTCAACAATTGGGGTGATTAGTACTACATAGGGTTAATCATGGGGTTACACCCATAATTAGCTCTCCTAAAGGGGTTTAAAGTGAGTTCAAAACTATTTCAGGAATGAAGTCTTCGTTTATTCTACTATTTGTTCTATTGTTCCAATCCGCTTGTGTTTCCAGAAATCAAGCGGAAGCCAATTTATTCAATGATGCCCCCTAGGACATTCTATATTGGATTTTGCCTAACACCATTTCACTTTCCTTGCTTTTCATTCTATATTGCATTTTGTAAACGGACACTCTTCTTTTCAAACCATTGAAACGAAAGCCCTTATCCAACAACCAAGTTGTGACCTAGTAGTCAATGAAGTACGTGAAAAACATGGGTGACCAAGGCTTAAATCCCAACATAGACAAAAAACGTAAGGTGGTTTCTTCATCTGCCTAAGCCTCGGTGACCAGAGTTACCTGGTACCTATACCCTATGGAATAATCGAGGTGTCAGCAAGTTGGCCCGGATACCACTGTCCTTAGCCACCATTACATTACTGATGTACTAGTTTTCATCTCTTTCACCTACACCTAACTCATTCATACAGAAAATTCCATCACTATCCTATCCCCTGCTATTCAACCTTTCTGTATCTCCCTAAATACTCTTTCCTTTCGATTCTTCTCCTCGGAAATCCTTTCTACATCGCATTTTGCTAGGCGATATCTTCCTTATATTCCTGGATAATGCTTTCTAGTTTTGCATCCGAAGAAGTAAAATAATTCATCGACAAAAGGAAGTGTGGGGGTTAGCACGAAAACATTGGGGAAGTCTCCTCCTCCTTATTGGTTTTGCATAGTTTCTTTATTCCTTTTTCTTTGTTAGTAAGATGATATTTTTTCCTGCTATGCTTTGTGATTGATCTAAAATTGAAATGATATATTTAACTATGAAAAGGAAAATTAAGAATAGGCATGTTTTATAATAATACTCCCTCCATTCCAATTTATGTGAACCTATTTGACTGGGCACGGCGTTTAAGAAAGAAATGAAGACTTTTAAAACTTGTGGTCCTAAACAATACATAATACTTGTGTGGCTATAGTTCTTTGAAAATTGTGGTGCTAAACATGCCAGAGTTTGTGTAGATGTAAAAGCTTCTCCAGGGTAGAATTGGAAGTTTAAGTTAATTCTTTCTAAATTTAGAAGAGGTCATTCTTTGTGGAACGGACTAAAATTGAAAGAGGTTCACATAAATTGAAATGCCGGGAGTATGACTTAAGCTATAACATCGGCACGCCTTCTACTGTTTCAAAATTTGGATCTTGCACACAAAATAGTCTTGTTTTACTGTGTTCGACTAGTTTTTTTTTTTCCATTAGCTTACATATCAGATTATACAGGTTACATTTCCTTTCAAAATAAAGCACCTAAAAGATAGAACGTTTTCCCTCAGAAATACGTCATGTAACAATTTTAGTATCTTACTTTCTTTTTTGGGTCAGCATCAAAACCAAATACATCAACCAAATACTAAGACTGACATTCTATTTTCTTTTGATGTACAAAATGAAGATGCCTCATACTTGCTGGTCATCATCAAAACTAAATATACCGAACATGATGTGTGGAATCCCTTAATATGACCCAATACGACAGAAAAAATTTTGCATAGCAGAAGGGTTCTGCTCTATAAGTCTTCTTCCTGGATGCCAAAATAATCAGATTTAGACCCAAAAATAGTCGGAATCCGAAGTGGTTTATGTAATTACTTATCTCATGGGAGCTGCAGCACATAAACAGCGAAAAATAAAAAGCTTTTCGGGATAATGTTTCTCCCTAGTTCTTCTACGTGATAGAGGATGCCTTCACCTCTATTATTGTACTTGAACCTCTTTGGTAAAATTCATTTCTGAATCACAAAAATATAAAGCAGGTAAAATCTATGTTGCTTGGACTCGGAATAATACTAGACAAATTTTAGAGTGCTTTTCATAGAAAGAACAAGAAGTGATCCAGAGAAAACAAACTAGTATTGTGTATGGTAAAAATTTTCGACAGAGTTAGAGCCATAAAATAAGAATACCTTTCGTAGCCAAGACCTTCAAGAATAAGTGAGACGAACTCCCAGAACTTTATGGGCTCCATGTTTGTGATAAAATATGCCTGCCAACACCATTTTTTATCAAGGCTTTATTATTCAACAACAGCTAATACAGAAAACATAGAAAATGCCTCCTTTAGTACGTTCTTCTCATAGAAAAAGTTTGATAATGCAAGAAAAAAAAATTTACTCATAAGTCAGCATGACCAATATGACCATTTTCATACCTAACCACACCTCACACAGAGGTGTTAACTATAATAACGCGGGGAAGGGAATGAAGAAAATTATGACTAGATCCACGGTAGAAGTTTCCAAACTTGCTAGAGAAACGAAAGTTGACAAAGGTTGTCTTATTTGATCGTTTACTGTAAAATTGTAACTGCGAGGAGGGGAAAGGCTAAATTATGACTTAATCCAAGGATAGAAGTTCCCTAAACAGCTAAGGAAAATGACTACAAGCAGGGTATGTCTTATTAGATTGCTGAAACTGTAAGCTAGAAAATAACAGATGGATAAGTGTTGTCGACTGAAAACTACTGGCAAAGTCTGTTTTACCCAATAAAGTTTTGCAGTAATTCCACATAAATAGCGACATGTTAAGCCTGTACTTTTTCAAATGCATTGCTAGAGAAGAAAAGAACAACATTAAGATAAAGTGATAGATGAGGAGGAAACTTCTCCCTGCCAAAGTAGTGTGGCAAAATGGTAACAGTAATCCACCCATATTATCCATTAAAAAATGGGTTGGATAATGAACTTTTTAAAAACGGGTCAAATATGGATAAGAACCATATTATCCACTTAGAAAATGGATAACCAATGGAAAATTAATGGGTTTAACTTTCAATTTGTAAAGCCTCAAATTGGGGGTTCCTCAAGTTTAGGAGACTAGGAATTTTCCCAAAAGTGATCATATTCAAGAAGCCATTAATAATATGGATATCCATATTATCCACCGGTTAACCCATTTTTTATCCGTATTAAATATGGATTGGGTCGGATAATTTATCCGTTTTTGCATTATCCATTTTGACCCGCCCATTTGCCACCCTACAAAGAAGTATAACTGATTTAGTGCCACACAACAGCCAATGACGGTTAACCACCTAAGCATTTAGTCCATTGTAGTAACTGTCAATAAGTAAGATATTAAGCAGAAACAGAACCCAGAAACCACTCAAGGAAAGTAATGACCTTTACCCAACCTATGGAGTTGTATGGTGCAGCATAAACATTTGTTGAACCTTGATTAGAGATCTTTCAATTAAAACTTAGGATTGATTGCTCAACTTCTATTGCTGCATGACATAATATTCTTCATCTTAGTTTTCTTGCACATTTATCACATATCGCAATTATGAGGCTCGGTAAAGCAATGGATGGGACTCCAATAGTAACTCAAAGATTTCTATGGCATTGCATGATCCTGGATACTTTCGTCAGTTACAATTTCACAAGTCAAAACACATAGGTGTAATTAAATTGAAAGCATATCATAGCAGCTGCTTATAACAAAGATTTCAAAAAATACAGAACACACAAAAAAGGAAAATTAGAAATGTTACCTGCCCAGCAGCTTTCTCTGCTACTGCACCCCCTGATGCGAGAGCTCGTTCAGCACATACATGAGCATGTGCAACGTTTTCTACGTAAGTGAAATCATACATGTTGTTGCCATCACCAATTATGAACTGAACATCATGAATCAAACAAGATCGTCAAAAATCATTCAAATAGTGAATAGAGAATAGAAAACATTTAAAATTCATCATTCTTTCGATTCATTACAAATAACAACAAGCAACAAAACAATAGTGAACCAGTGTCCAATAGTAAGTTCCTTGGGACACATTTTCGAAACAAACTATTGAACAATAAATATGACCTATTATAGAATCACCTTAGATTTTCCTGCCCTTGCTGCTGCAACCAGTGATGGAACCAACAACCTGTCGCCAGGGCCAAAGATACTGCTAGGTCTAATGCAGCAGGTCAGGAGCCCTTTAGTATCATTTGACTTGATAACTAGTGCCTCTCCTTCAGCTTTAGTTGCAGAATAGGAATCGTTATGCTGAAGACATTATCAGTAACAAAAGTATTTTTATAGACAAACCAGACAAATATTCATTTGGATAAAGTAAACAGGAAATGGAGCCAACACCTTAGCAGGATATGGTAGCGATTCATCCCCGTTCAGAATACCATGAACTCCATCAAACACAACACTGGGGGAGCTGGTATAAATAAGTCTCTTCACTTTTAGCTCAACACAAGCATCAATGATATTCTTGGTTCCTTTACATTTGTTCAACAGAAAAAGAGAAGTAAAACTCTAATATAGGAAACAAGACCAAATAACAACAACAACAACAACATACCCAGTATTATCCCACCCCGTGGGGTCCGTGGAGGGTAGTGTGTACGAAACAAGACCAAATAAGAAAAATGAATTAGTCTGACAAAGTGACAAAGAAAGCTTTTCCTAATTGCGAACAATACCTAGCACATTAACAGAGTGATGAAGCTGGTGGTTGTTGATCGATGAATCTGGCGCAGCCATGTGGAATACCACTTCTGCTCCTTCACACGCTGCAAGTTATCAAGTGAAAAGTTATGACACTAGACAACTTAATAAAATTTCTTTTGAATATTTAACCTAGAAAAAATGAACCTTGGACAATTTGTATCATAATTTGGCAGACGTGCTTGATAAGAGGCTTATTTTATTTGGAATAATCTTAAATGTGGAAAGTCCAATTTTTACTTTCATACTATGGTTAAAAGTACACGATACATCATTTAAAGATGTATAAAAAGTTCACAAGCCAGAGTTGGAAGCACTACCAACCTCCTATATATCTTCACTTGATAAACTACAACATTTTCTATTTTCAGCTAGAGACCAAGTTTTCTGGATCAACAAATTGGCAGTTCTTTAAATCTGTAATTCCATGAATTGCTAGCATAGAAAGTTCCTTTATAAAAACGATATCACTACCTGAAGTTTACAAATGTATTACAAACATGGATATAATTTACATGGAAACATCAATTCCCATACGTTATTCTAAATGAATCAATATTGGAATGAAGGAATAGCACATATTCAACGAAGCACAAATAAAAGTTCCACGAGTTTTAATCTTCGGGCCAAAATGTTGAAAACAGGACCAAATTCAAGTCAGTGATGATAAATAAGCTACTCATTTTCTCACGAACCAGAATAAAACGAATAATTCTACTCCCACTACCTTAATTTAAATTTGTTTATAACCAATGACCAATCTGGATAAAAAGCTCATGTCCTAAAATAAAAACAAAGGTGTTGAATAGAATAATTGGTTCAGTCTTCTCTTACACCAAAATCATGCATGCAGCGGATAGACCTGCTAACACTATGATTGGCTGGAAAACATTTGGCATCTCTAGCGCTCACATTTTATACAATGAATACACTAAAAAAACAACAAAAGTAAACTAATTAAAGATTTTCTTTTTTTTAAAAAAAAAAAAAGAGAAGAAACTACTACTGCTATGCTTCAATCCCAAATTAAATGGGTGGGTCATATATATATCCTCTGTGTATTTTTGCTCTATTTTGGCATGTCTCATTCTAATACTCAATAATTTGCCTTTTAAGACAAATTGGAGCTTTTTTATAATCTAGAAAACCTTGAGGGCCAATGGCGCATGATTCAAACTTGGTGGATAATGGGCCGGTCCCTCTACTCTTCTCCACTTAAATACTAGATTTTTGTCAGTAGCAGGGTTCAAGCCCGTGACGTGCACCTAAACCACACACATCAAGCGTTGCAATCTTACCACTAGACCAAGGCCTGGGGGCGACAAATAGGAGTTTTTACAACTAATCACCAATATCAAGCAAAATATTAGGAATATTATTAACAAGGGAAAAGACCTTTAAGAACTTGGGACTTGTCACGAAGATCCATGGATACATAGTGAGCACGGCCTGATCGCAGAGCTTTACCGACAGTGCCTTCCTCCTCGTCAGGCTCCAGCTTAATGTCCGGACCCAAATCCGCAATGCGGACGTGAAACATTTCGTAACGGATCAGCATTTCCACCAAATGGCGAGCAGCAAAACCTCTCCCTCCGGTCACCACACACCATCTCTCTTCTCCTTCACCCATTTCTACACCCCTGTAATATAATAAAGTAAACTCGATCAATAAATCAATCAATCAGTACTATCACAATGCAGCTAAATACACACCTCCTCCGTCTTAGTAATTCAAATTGTAGCACTTGGAATGACTTCAATCTCTTATTGTGCTCTCGATCAATCTACTAATGTCACCTTTCTCGTGAGGTTTCTAGGGTTTCTAGTACTATAAATTTGGGGGATTGCAGATGGAGAGATGTGCGATGAAAGTTGAAGAAGTATTAATTGTTTAGTAGCCAGTAGGGTATCAATAATCAATTTGAAAACTTCTTAATTGAACCGAATCTACTTGAACTGATTATTACTTCTCTCTATTTTTTTAATGAAAGATCAGGCTTTTCCCTTCCAAGGTTGATTTTGATTTGGGAACAGGTTATAGTGAGATTATAATGTCAGGGAGTATAATATGAGATTAATAAAAATGAGATTATAATGTCAGGGAGTATAATATGAGATTAATAAAAATGAGATTATTTAGGGAATATATTGAGTACATTTGGACATAAGAATTTTTTCACTTTAAAAATATGTACGATCATAAAAATTTTGATTTTCACTTGAAAATAAATTTTAGAATTTTTCAAAAATTTAAAAAAACTCTAAAAGGTTGTTTTCCAAAACTTTCATTGTGATCACTCATAAAACTTCAAAAATAACCCAAAATTATATTAATATTCAAACACAATTTTAATTTTCAAATACTATTTTCACTTTATTTGAAATTTTACAACTCTTATGTCCAAACGCCCAATTAAGTTTCAATTCACACGGGCAGGGAGATTGAGGTGCATACTTACAAGTTTTTTAGGATATATAAGTTTAATATAAAATATGTGTTTAGTTTTACCGTAAATAAATTTGAATATGCTTTTATTTTCTATTTTAGCTTTGGTTTTCTTAAAAGACTTCGAGATAAGAATTTTAGAGAAGGGCATCATTATCGTCTACGAATGAAGCCGGGGCTAATACACACCCCGATTTTTGGGTGGGTCAAACGAAACAAGGATATGACTACATAGGATTGGAATCAAAGCAGAGAACTTCATGTATCGAGGCCCGAAAGGGTGCTCACCACCAGGCCTGATAGGACAACATCCCCCGAACCCAGAACGAGCTCCGAGACCTCGGAAAGCATGGCAACGGTTGCACACCACTAAACAAAGGGTCGTGATATCCGCACCCAACCGAATATCACGGCGTAGATCTCGCCCGATGTCGGTAACATATCAGTAATTAACGAGAAAGGAGGATTTTTACCTTTTTTAGAAATGTACTAGAGATGAAACTCTCCTACTATATAAAAGGAAGGCTTTTATTTAGTATGACACATTATAACACGCATACCAAGACAATACAAACTTATTTCTCTGCTTTCTAGTTATTGCAAAATCTTTACTTTACTTTTGTTCTTTGTTCTTGACTGGCTTCGAATCAAGGACCCAACCGAGGGCAGAAATCCAAGTTTAAGCTACGTCATAACGTTATGACTGGTTTGATTACTCATTGTGTTTTTTAACTCATTTAGCCAACTTTCTTGATTATTTATGTTGAATCAGTCCACATATCCTTAAAATCGCGTATAAATTCAATTGTTATTCGTTTTAAGGATAAACAGTTTGGCGCTCACCGTGGGGCTAAGGATAATAGTGGTAGTTTGATAGAAATTTCCATAACACGCTCTACATTACACTTGACCTTTAAGGTTTCAATTTCAGGTCAATTTAAAAATGCCAAGTTCTAAGTCTACTCACATGAACGTTGAGACTGAGTCTGGCCATCATGGCGAAAACAACAATCTGATGCCTAGCAATGAGGTGCCCTTTGCTGATCCCAATGGGGTCCCAGTTGCCGATCCAATCGACGCTAATTCACAAGCTGCTATCGACGTCAACCTACTAACTGACCCCCCTGAAAACAGTGTTCGATGAGGTCCCCGACCAACGGTTCAAGAAACGTTTGAGGGGGAAGGATAGGGTAAGCCTGTGGCTAATCTTCGAAATGTTATAGGCTCAATAGGTGGCGATAGAGCAGCTACTAGATCAAGGCCACGCCCCTGGCAAGGTCGAGCCCGAATGGTCTCGGGAGAACACCCGAAGAACGAACAAACCAACGAGAGGTCGGGTGAAGTCGGGCTCGGAGCCAACCCCAAGATAATGAAAATGCTTGAAGTATTGACGAAGTGTGTGGAATCAGGTGAGAAGAAAATTGAGGCCAACGATAAAAAGGTGGAGACATATAACTCCAGGGTCGATCAAATTCCGGGAACACCCCCAATATTAAAAGGAGCAGATTCCAAAAAGTTTATCCAAAAGCCTTTCCCTCCGAGCACTGCATCAAAGTCGATCCCGAAGAGGTTTCGTATGCTCGATATTCCAAAGTACAATAGAACCACAGATCCAAACGAGCATGTGACCTCCTATACATGTGCTATCAAATGGAACGACTGGGAAGATGACGAGATCGAGTCGGTTTTGCTAAAAAAGTTTGGGAAAACACTGTCAAAAGGAGCAATGATATGGTATCACAACTTACCCCCAAATTCTGTTGATTCGTTTGATATGCTTGCAGATGCCTTTGTGAAGGCTCGTGTTGGGGCCATCAAGGTCGAGACCAGGAAATCAGACCTTTTCAAGGTTAAACAAAGAGATAACGAGATGCTAAAGGAGTTCGTATCGAGGTTCGAGATGGAAAGGATGGACCTGACTCCAGTCGTCGATGATTGGGCCGTTCAGGCATTCACTCAAGGACTTAACTCCCGAAACTCCTTGGCTTCGCAGCAACTAAAACAAAATTTGGTAGACTATCTAGAAATAACCTGGGCCGACATCCACAACAGATACTAGTCGAAAATCAAAGTCAAGGATGACCAACTCGGAGTCCCTTCTGGATCCGTTTATCCCGTTAGAGCTGATGACAGGTCTAAGAGAGTCGTCAATCATGAACCGAGATCATTCCGAGACTGGTATCAACCATACAACAGGGATCGAAGTGGAAATGGGTCTGGGCGTCACCCCATGAGGAACAAAAAGAGAAGTGATCGAGGGCCCAATAGCCGAGGTTTGATGAGCAAAATGGCTTTGACAGGCCTCTCGGGGCTAGGGAAGCAACAAGGTTGTCGGAATATAACTTCAACGTTGATGCTGCCAGTATCGTATCATCCACCGAGCGCATCAAGTAAACCAAGCGACCTCAACCCATGCAGTCCGACCCTACCAGAAATATCTTAACTTGATATGTAAGTATCATGGCACTCATGGCGATAGGACCGAGGATTGCTGGCAATTGAGAGAAGAAGTTGCTCGGGTTTTTTAATAACGGGCACCTATGAGAATTTCTGAGTGATTGAGCCAAAAACCACTTCAGAAATAGGGACGTTAACAAACAGACCGAACAAGAGGAACCTCAACACATTATCAACATAATCATTGGAGGGGTCGATGTCCCTCAAGGGTCAATAATAAAATGCACTAAAGTATCCATTATAAGGGAAAAATGCACCCGAGATTACATCCCGGAGGGAGCCATTTCGTTCAACGACGAGGATGTTGAGGGCATCGTAAATTCTCACAATGATACACTAGTAATATTCGTAGTTATGAATAAATCTTGAGTTAAATGCGTGTTGATTGATCCAGGTAGATCGGCCAACATCATCAGATCGAGGGTCCTAGAGCAATTGGGTTACAGGATCAAATAGTGCCAGCAATCCAGGTGTTGAACGGATTTAATATTGCATGAGAAACTACTAAAAGGAAGATAACCCTGCTAGTGAACACCGCCAGAACAATACAAGAAACAAAGTTCTATGTGATTGAAGGGGACATGAGATATAACGCTCTATTCGGAAGACTATGGATTCACAACATGATGGAGCTACCTCCTACCTTACACTAGGCATTGAAATTCCCTACACCGGGAGGAATCAAGACGGTCTACGGATAATAGCCATCTGCAAAGGAGATGTTCGTAGTTAACAAAGTACTTCTGGTGCTCGCCATCTCGAGGAACATGGAGTCGACCAGAAAGACCGAAATTAACTAGCAACCACCGTTACCATCCCCAGCTGGATCGGAGGAACGGGGAGTAGACGAGGAGGAGGATTACAAAGTTCTGAGGTTGTTCATAGCTCCTGATGATACTGGCACCACCAAATCGACTGTCGAAGAGTTGGAGAAAGTCACATTGATCGAACACCTACCAAATCGAAAGGTATACATTGATTGAACACCTACCACCAGGTCCATCCTGCCCTTCCACACTTCGGCCATAGCCTTGACCTCGTTCATCTCAGCTCGGAGCTGGTTGATCATGTCGATCTTCTATTAGACCTACGAGGTTGTGTTGTTAGTCACCATGACTAGCTTCACGTTTTTAGCTTCAAAGACCTTTACCTTTTCAACTAGGTCATCATGTTCCCTTTTTAGGATTGAGGCATACTTTTGAGCTTTTTCTAGCTCGGCCTGGAGTTCTTTAAGGGCCTCATCTTGTTGCTCGATGAGTTGCATGTACATGTCATTCTTTCAGACCTGTTCTTTGAGCTCGAACTCGAGCTGGCTGATTTCCAAGTGGTATCGAAAAAAGCTTTCATGATAAAGCACCGAAGCCTATACAACAGTGGAACTGGTAAGGGACATCAAGGGAAATCTCAAGAGGGATTCATGAAGGGAGTACGAAAGTGTTAGAACCTTACCTGGTTTCGTGACTGCTGCGCCTCGTTAAAAAGACTCGATGTACCTACCTCGTTCATCTTTGCCTGGTCCTTCTCGGTCATCAGGCATTGGAGGTAGCTGGCTATACCTACTGGAGCAGACAGGATCTGGGCATCCTCGGGGACTGTAAGAACAATTGTCCTTTTGTACTTGGGGTCCACGATCGGTGTAGGGAATTGCTTTACTAATCTCAGGCTCGTACTCGGCCCATCCGCTCCCGAAGGCACGTCCTTCTTTAAATATCTCCAGGTGGCCCAGCCCGGAGAAATCTTCCAATGTAGACATGTCCATGCCATCAAAAAAGGAGTGGAGAGGATCTTCTGCACCCTGAGCTCCTTCACGTGATTTTACCTTGCCCGATTGGGCCTTTTTGAGCATGTACTTGGTATAGGAGGGCGTCTCGATGATGTCAATCACACTAGTTACATCCTTCGGAACAAGAACGGCTTCTCAGGAGGTCATATATCCTGTCTCCACTTTGACCTCTCGAATTGGAAGGGGATCGACCTCGTATCTCCTTTCCACAGTCGCCACTTGCTCCCCGGCAGAGGTTGATCCATGAGCGATGAAAATTTTATCTTCATCGGTCTCATCCCGAGCCGGTGAAGCAGGTCAGAGTCCGATACCCAAGATTTAGTATTTTTCTTGGGCTTGCAAGCCCGGGTGGTCACCCTCTTTTTAAT